ACCAGGAGGAATGGCCACAGTTCAAGCTGGTAGAGGCCGGAAGATGGTGTGTTCCTGTGGAGGTAGCATGGACAGTGGAACAGAGGACTGCTATGGGAGAGTGAGTTTATCCCCAGGTCTGCCACAGCCTCGCTGTGTGACTTGCTGTAGGTCATACCTCATCTCTGTTGCTTTGCCTCTGCTTGCACAATTGAGATAACAACACAAAGCTCAAAGTTTTTAGTGAGGGTGAGTGAAAAACACTAGAGAGGAGCATATCAGGTTTCAGTCATAAGCAGATGCGTGGTACTGCGATGGTCCGTATGTATGGAGGTACTCAGAGTACAGTCATAGAAGTTAATGCGTTATTAGAATCACAGACTGGTTTGGGTTGGAAGGGACCTTAAAGACCATCTAGTTCCAACCCCCCTGCCACGGGCAGGGACACCTTCCACTAGACCAGGTTGCTCAAAGCCTCATCCAGCCTGGCCTTGAACACTTCCATATTGTATAGATTCATGTCAAAAGGCACCAGTAATAGACATAGCGGAAAGTGCTACATCTTTAATTTTAAAGAATTGCTATGAAACAGAGAATGCTCATCATTATAGTCCCATCCTTGATAGTCTTGACACAGAGCTCAATATATTCTACAGAAGGATTGGAAATGCAAATCTTTCCTGCAGTTACACAGGGTAGAAGAAGGGTGACTGGAACTGGCTGGAGTTACTAATTCCCATGCTTCAGAGCACATGGCCAGTGTGAGGGTCAGGAAGAAATCCTTCCCTCCCCTTAAGTATAAATGTAACTCATTGAGTGAAATGTTTTGGTTTTAAACTCTTTGGAAATCATCAGTTGGAAAGACCTCGGAGGCCTAGGTATCCATGCACAGTCAGCCCCACCCATCCTTCTTATTCAAGTAATGCTAATACAGAAGTAATGTTAATGCTGTTGGTTAGTCTATTAGAGTCTATAGGTAAGCTGTTTCTGTGTTCCAGTGTATAAATGCTGAACTGAATTAAGAACTAAATTAATATAACAGTGATTGTCCAATGAAAAATTTAAGTATGGAATCACTAGAAATAATTCTGAATTTGCATCTCAGATCTGAATGACTGAATTGAGGACTCTTGCAGTTTAAACTCTAATTTGGATTCAGTCCAAAATTCTGCCTTTTCTAGAATCATGTGTATATATGTCAGTACAATAAACACACATATTTAACAAATTATGATAAAAGGTAATGTGAACATCTGGTAAAATGTTAGTATCTTTTAAAACTGAGTTTTGTTTTGGCTTTCATGCCTCACTTTTGGTACTGGGTAGGATTTCTTAACCTTCTAAGAAAAGAAACAAACATCAAATTTCCTAGCAAGCCTCTAAAGCAAGACAGAGGACAATATTAATAAATTGATTTTTCTTTCTTTTTTTTTTTTTTTTTTTTTTAATACTGGAGCTCCAGTTGGAGGTTGAGGAAGTTGCAGAGTACACAGATGAGAACTTAAATGAGCCGAATGCACTAGCTTTTTCTGAGTCAGTCAGGGGGTGGATGGACTCGTTACAAGCCTACAAGCTATTTAAATGATTACCCAAACATGCTGTGTTTTCCTTAGAGCAGATGCAGCATAAACCTCTCAAAGGTGACAAGCCTTTGACTCACACAGATGTGTAGGAAGGACTGGAAGTTTGATGGGTTTTTCTTATCAAATTATATACACACAGAGATGCTGATTACTACACATCTTTCTCCAGAATGCTTTCTGATGAGCTTTTTTACAAGTTCAGAAAGCAATACCACTCTTAACTGGCTATGCCACTTTTGTTAACTGAAAAGATGCTGATTGGGCTTTGAAGAGCACTTTATCAGGGGCCAGCAGCATCTCCTGTCAGAACTTGTAAACAAAAAGAGTTAAGCAGTGAGTGCTGCAGATGATGATACTGGTCATTAAGTAATTGAACAAGGGAATTTCAGTGAATACTGAAAAACAAGTCCAGAGGAGCAGAGACTTCTCAGAAATAGTTTTTAAAGCCAGGCATCCATTTGAGCTCATCTCTACCTTTGAGTGCATTGGATCCTGTTATGCAGGATGGCAGGGAACTTTTCCTGCTGCTGCCTAGCTCTTAACATTTAGAATACAGTAATTTGTGAAAGGGCAGTATGTTCTCTTAGAAGTTCTTAGAATGTCTCTATGTGATTTCGGGAGGAGTCCCCAGCACTTGCCCAAGCAGAAGGTGTATTTAACAAATAGCTTTTAATGTGATTATATTGTTCATTACACTGGTTTTCAACTTGGGTCCCAAGGAAGCTTTCCAAAGCATTGGCTTTCAATTTGTGGACATACTGGGGAGTGGACTGTGGAGAAGGATTGAAAACCATCACTGTATAACATAGTAGTACATGCATAAATCACTTTGTCATTTTTTACTGCAGTATATCCAAAGTAAAAACACTGGGGTTTCACATAAGAAGAGAAACTAACAAGCTAAACCTGCTTTGCTTTCACCCATAGACGTTGCAGAAATAAGCAGGTAGAGGTTGAGTTTTGGAACCACTCCTGATGTCAGTAGGCTGAAGTACAGTGTGTTTCAGCCTGGATGTAATTACTTCTGGTTGCTTGCCTTTAGCTCACTCCAGAGCCTTGTTTTTTGCAGATGGACCAGCCGCGTACCCGGTCCCGGTGCAGAACACCAAACCGCTACTTACTGTCAGCTTCACGTCAGGAGACATCAGTTTAATGAACAATTATGACGACTTGTCTCCTACTATCATCCGCTCAGGGTTGAAAGGTACAAAATGAAGCTGTTTCACCCCCTTCCTATCTTCTCCTTCTCTTGTCTTTTTAGCCATGAGTGTGTAGATTGTGTTTTGGGGGCTGTCTCTCCCAGCCCAGCAGCACTCAGCCGCCGATCTTGCCATGTCCAGCAGCAACGCCTGCAGCGCTTGGCGGAGGGAGTTTGTGGGTTTGAATAGATGTTTACATTTTTTGAGGTCCTGTTGTTACAGCAGTTTTATAGAGCAGATTGATCTATGAGTTGGTTTTCAGCTGCCTGGGCTAATATGTTTAGGCTGCTTTGTGTGAATGCCTCTGCTACGTAACACTTCCCTCGTGTCTTTAATTCACAAGGTCCCATGCCTTTGGTAGCCAGGCATGAATCGCAATGCTGCTTTGACTCCCACAGGTTTTCCAAACTTGCTAGAATTGTTAATTATCAACAGGCAAGTTATTCTGAGAGAAAGAAAATTCCGCTGATTAATTACGTCTTGCTAAGTGATGTGTGTGAATGTTTGTGAGATCAGTATTCATGTAAAATGTTTTAATTCACATTGAAATTTTTTACTGTTCTTACCTGTCAGAAAAGTGCCTTACTTTGCCAGCACTCTCAATACAATTTACAGTGCTTTGCCTGGAGGCAAGTTTTAATTCACCGCAGCACGTAAGCACATACTTAAATATAGGTTCCACTGATTCGTTTTCATCTCCACAGACAAATTAATTTTACACTAGGTTTAAAAAAATAAATTAATTAAGCTATTGAAACAGACTCTTCACTGTTCTGTAACAGTGGAATATTTTTGCTGAAAAGTTGCCCTTTACCAGCCCAATAGTGTGTGGGTGATGCACTATATAGGGTAGTCTTAGGAAGTTAAAAAATTGCCTTTGAGATTTCTCTTCCTCTCCTGCTTCCATCTGTGCTGACACAAGAAGCGCAAAATGTAGCATCCCGGGGCATCCCTATGATCCAGAAAACTTCTTCAGCTGAAAAGATGCCCAAAGTCTGGAAAAACTGGATACGATTTAGAGAAGCTCTTGTGATATATACCCAGGGATTCACCAGCATCTCTACAGAATTATAGTAAGCAGGATAGGAAGTTGTCATCTACTTTACCTTTCAGCTGGAAACAGTAGGAGAAACAAAATCCATCTTATGCTTGCTTCAGAGTTGCAGGGCTCTGTCATGCTGAGGATGTCTGTCCTCTTTCTCTTTCCCCATTGACTTTCGCTAATGGAAAAAAAGATCCCTTAATTACGTCACTCTCCTCTAGCAAAATACTAATGTACCAGCTACAGTAGAAATGTTCTTTATGAGTTGTCAACTGGACTGCATCATTCACATCAGTAGAAGAAGAATGAGCAACATCTTGTTGGATTGGGAATGTGTATGAGACAGAGAGAAAAGGTGGTTGGGATATCACCGTCTGTTGTTTTGAAGCTACCCGCTGAACAGTGGAAAATATTTTGCATATAGCTGTCATAGAGAGGTAAACATTTACTGTACCTTCTTACAGAATTTTTTTTCAAGTGACTGTAATTTGACTGGTTGTTGTTTCAGGCAAGAGTGTGCAAAACCACCCAGTTCAGGGTGTCCGTTCCCTCCAGCTTCTTGCTATTCTGCTGAGAGTGGATGGTCTTCAGTATTGTGTGCGAGTCTTAATTCACGGGTTTCTGTTTGAAATCTGTAAGTATTGTTTTGTGGTCTCTGCAGCAGATGCCCTTATGTTTATGGGCTGCTGTAGGCTACTCAGTGTGTTTAAAGCAAGCAACTATTAAGCTATTTCAAGCATTACAAATACATTTTTGCTGTTCTCCTAGCTTGGCATAGCTGTCATTTTACTGGGAGCATTCATATTAAATTGATGCAGGAAAACATTTGCTGTTGGATAAGAATTTGATTACCCAAATACAAGTTCTCCTTTTCATCCAGCTTGATTGCTCCTGGAAGTTTTATCGGTTCTAGTGGAGGTCCTGAACTGTTCAGTTGTATCCTTTCTTCCTTTACACTTTTTAACGCAGTGATTCTCAGTACACTGCTACCTGCAGAACTGCTGAACTGCATCTACCAGTTGTACTAGTTAGCTGCAACTACTACCCACAGAGCTATTGCACATTTAGAGTGCTGTCTACTCAGGGTTTGCTGATACACATGGCTGTAGTGGCTGGCAGGTAGTTTTGAGGGATGGCTCTGACCCACTGGTTCACTTGCAGACTGTTAGCCTAGATGAAGCCTACATCTGATTTCTACTCTCTGTGCTTGCGCTGAGACCTGGTTATCAGCTGAGCTGTTTTACGTCAAGGTTCGATGATTGTTGAAGACACGTTGGCAGTGCAAGCCTGCTGTGGAGCCACGCTGTCCTGGGGGAATGCTGCAGCCCACATCCAGCCCTTTGCTGCCTTCGCAGCAGCCTTGATTCTAGGAGTTTGGAGAGAGAGAGGGAAAACTGCTGGACACAGCAATCACTCTTCTTCTCTTGGTGCGGGGATCGCCTAAAAGTTGTACCTGAAGACAAGTATCCAAAGGAGACTTTTTTCACTTTGTAGTTGTGTAGTTAATCCAGTTACCAGAGTGGACTTTATCAGCTTGCCTCACTGACTTCTAACCTGCCTATCACTATCTCTCCAAGAAAGATGAATAAATCCCACTGTGGACTACTTAGAGGGCTGAGGACTAAGAAAAAAAAGAGGATACAATGCCTAGCTGTGGAAAAATTATCTTGAGGAAGGAACATGTGTCTTACCTCTCATATGTACAGAAGCATAACTCCCATGAGAAGTATCAGAAAGTGGAAATAATACAAAACCATTTTAAATTGCACATAAAAGTCCCTGAAAATGACAAGTTGACAACTTGAAACAATTTTGAGATCCTTCCTGCCAATTCTCATTTCTCTCCAGTTTCTCCATTTGAAGACAGCTTCTCGCCTACAGATGTCTTCAAAAGGTTCTTGGCAGACTGAGCATCCCAGAGCACAAAAGTTTTGTCTTTACCTTCACTTGGTCTCCGCACAGGGTAGCTGCCTTTTGCCTCGGGTTTAAAAGTAAAAAGGTTTAAAGACTAGCTCAGTATTCCTTGCGCATGCACATCTGTCTCTGAAACACAAGCAGAAACACCAAATACGGGTTTAGTGCTCTTGTTACAGTGTGACAAATTGCCGGAGGATATAAGGGTTTGAAATTAGCATCCCTAAATTAACCTGTGGGCATTCCTCATCATGAGGTGCCTGTAGGAGAAGTAACTGATATGTATATTCATAACCATGTACATGAGAGACTAAGCAATAGCTGTGTGCTTCTGGCAATCTCCTGATAGACAGCTGAGTAGATTTTCACAAGTCGTGTCAAAAGAAAATCTATGACACGGAGGCCGTCTGTATTTATGGACAAAATTCCAAAAGTCTTTCTAGTTCGGTGTTGCACTAAAATATAACTCTAGTATGAGTGGTACTAAAAGTTACATTCACAGCCAGTGAGGACTTGAGGCATTGCCAAATATGCCCAGTTTTTTGCACTTAGGCCTTTTGAGACAAATACTCTTTGCTGCTCTCTTAGTCAGTGAGTTTGTTTATCTGTGTATTAGCTTAATTCTGGTTATTTACCCCAAAGATGTGCACGGGAACTTCCACATCAGTTTTAACATCTCTAATAAATTATTGTACTTAGGAACAACCACTGATTACATTCTAGACTCACCATAGGGAGAGAAAAATAGACGTGTTTTACACGTTATTTGCAATGTACAAAATAAAGAGTCATTCTCAGAAGTGCCTATGTGTCATATTTGCTACTATTTCAGTGAAAGGATTTAGGTTTCTAAATACTTAAGTAGCCTTTGAGAGCATGATGTAGCTGTTCAAGTTGCTCTGCAGCAGCTGGAAACACTGTTCCTACTGATTCTGACCAGTGATTGTTGCAAACTGTCTTTGTGATGATTTCAGATGTGGTGGTACAGTGGTGTACACAGGGGGACCTACTTGCGGTAGCAGGCATGGAGAAGCAGAGCCAGCTCGTTGACCTCGGCAACGGTTCCCTGTTGAAAAGCGCGCTTGTCAAGTTCTACAATGTGCGCGGGGAACATATCTACACTCTGGAGACATCTGTGCAGGTAGGGGGTGGTTTTAAGTCCCTTCTCAATGCTTCGCTGACACGCTTTTCCCACATCAGCACTTTGGTATAGATCTGCAGTGTGAAAAGAGGCCTGAATGTATTCTGAAGTAACGATGTAGATAAAAATGCCCTATAAATAATTATTGTTTGCATTAAGGCAGATATCCAGGAATGCATCTGATTCTAAGGCTCATTGTGCTAGCTATTGTGCAAACACAGAATGCGAAACAGTCCGTTTCCCAAAACCAAGGTAACGGACGAGGTAGAGAAAGAATTCTGTTGTTTTATGGTTAAGTGACTGAGGAGAAAAAAAAAAAAAGGATAACTTGCTTGATGTTGTAGCAAAGCCAAGAACTGTGCAAAAGTATTCCAAGGACAGTGTCATAACCACAAGATTACTGCTGCAATTTTCTAATGTACAGTCGGTGGATCTGATGCAATATGTTACTGTTTATGGCATCAGACGGAGAAGGATAAATCCAAAAGTCTTGTTTCTGTTCCCAACTTCTGTACAGACTTTTCACTGTGACCTCAGTCGTGTTACTTGACAAGTAAATGTCAGCACATGGGTTTTGTGCTGCTTAGGAGCACAACGTGCTTCGTAGGTCTTCACTGATGTTTCACTGTGTTCAGGTGAACCTCACTCAACAGTTTTTCACACTTTCTGTGGAACAGGGATGACTTCATTCAGATTTCTGACCGTACTAGTGAAACTTAATCTGTAATAGCTTTGAAATCTAAAACTGAAGGAAAATGCTATAGATGCATTTACTTAATTATGTTAAATGATGATACCATTTATTATCATTTCTTTTTCAGTACCCTGATCTGGGATGGATACAAAAGGATGACGTAGTAAACCAGCTGCTAAGCTTTTGTGTTCGCTTATATTTAGCATTAACCTGAGCTTATTAACGTTAGCGCTCTAATTTAGATAGAATTCTTTAGTTTTGTAATGCATAAAATAATGTTCTCTAAAGCCAACCTAAATATGTACAGTGACATCTAATGCTGATTTAGGTATCTAAAGGACTCACCCGTACACACAGCTTTGTTGTCTTAAACAGCTCTTCCAGCTGAGTAGCACAGCCCTTTCCTCTCTGGATCGATTCTGGAGAAAACATATTTATACCGGTGTTGCTTATTCCCAGACCAGGTAAAAAACAAACCAATCCTCATTCTGTTACTTCACTACCAGGACACCATATGTCCGTGTTAGCTGTTGAACCCATGTAACGCTTCGGTGCCAAGGTGTGAATTCAAGCTGTGGTTTGAGCAGTGGAACCGATGGGGTCAGGTTGCCTTAAGGTGTGCGTGTGTGCAGGCTCATCTCTTACTGCTCTCTCCCCCACTTTGTTACCGGTCACCTCAAATACCTTCATTCCATCTGGTTCTCCCTCTATCCCATCAACTCCTTTTCATATTTTCGGCTCTTCTCTCTCCTCTACTTAATCAGCTGGGAGAAAGCACATGCTGTGGCTGATGTGAGGGCTAATTATTCTGCCATTATGTGAGTACTTACAGGACAACTGACAGGTCACGCAGAACAGGTAACTGCCAAGTTCATGCTGCCGTATTTCTCACACTAAAAATATCATGAGGCTCTCTGCTCTTTCCAGCTGCTAATTTTCACTGAAATTGCAGCATTTTAGCAGCCTGGAGATTTCTTCCCCCTTTGTCAACTTCAGGTGAAAAACCAACGGCTTCAGAAGTTTTAAGCCAGGTTGAAAGTGAAGGGGGGGGAACACACACAAACACCAATTGATAACGCAGTCATGGAGTCTGGTTTCTCCAGGAAATGAGAAACCAGGTAAAATAACATTCAAACTGATGTATTTATGTTTATTAAAAACTGTGTATAAACCTGCCTAAAATTACAGCCACCCCTCTCATTAGTTAGTGTTTATTCTCTTCATTTAGTGCATTTAAACTTCTGTTTACTCAGCGGCAGGAGGAAGTGAGGGGGTCTTTCAGGACACCTGTATCTGCTCATGGGGACTTTATGCTTCTGTGTATGTGACTGCTGGTCTAGCAGCATTGCCAGCTAAGTGACAGGTGTGCTAGAACATTGCCAAGTATTTGGTTTGCTAACAAAACCAGGTAAAAAACGCTGTTGCAAAAAACATTGCTAGTAACCTTTGTTATTCTGTGCCTCTGCTCTAAAGATGTATGTGCAAAGATGACAGAGTGAGTCTGTGGTCCCAGTGATTTGTCTGATGACAAATTTATCAGAGTAAATTAGTCAGTTTTTTGTACCATGACAGTCATCCATGTAATGGGATTTTGTAAATTTATCACTGGTTATTGAAGAGAAGAGGAGAGAGGAGAGAAGAAGAGAAAAATAATTTCCTCATCTTGAACTTTTTTGCTAAAACTGTTTGTTCTGAAGCAAGCAAATGTGTGACTGGAAAAAGCACATCTATTCTAAATAAGCATTGTTCTGAATATGAAGATCAAAAAAGTAAAGCATCAATGAACATAGAAAATAGGGGATTACAGACACAAAACTCATCTTCCATGTGGTCCTGTATCCCAATTCTTTGATAAAGCACACATCATATTGCTGAATTGTTTTTGTTTCTGCTGTTTGTCTTACCCTGTCTTTGATAGGATATTAAGGAAACAAATTTATCATTTATAACAAAACTCAGTCTAAAACTGACACAGGATTTATAAGCAACTTGGCTGGAACATTCTCTAACATCAAATCAGTACGAAACCCAAGGTAGAATAGATTTTTGTACTGCAGGTTACTCATCTTGATGATTGTTGTCATGGATCCATCTCCTCTAGCTTTAGTATGGTTTTGTTTGATTACCTCTCTTTGATTACTTCATCGGTTTCATTTGATTACCTCACTTAAGCTCTTACCTTCAGTGTAGGAATTTCTGGTTCATAAACCTAGTGTGCTGGCTAAAACCCTGGATAGGGAAATCACACCTGTTTAGAAGTATCCAAATGAACACAGTAGCTTTGCATAAAAAAATCACACTCGTAACCAGAGCATAGTGTAACAGTCTCACTTGTTCCCTGCTCTGGGACTTCAGCCAGCCACCCTGACTGACATGCTGCAAGAATATATTTGCAGAATATAGTGAAAAGAGCTGAAAAATCATGGGTAAGGGCTGGAACTTCTGCTACACAGAATCGGACTCTTTTGAACTTTGAAAGAATGATGAAAAGATTTCAGAAGGGACTTCTGAAAGTCAAACCACACCTTTATCTTACTGGAAGCAATTATATGAAAACTAGGTCTATACTGTGACTCCAAAGACTTGATTTTATTAATAGTATATCTTATTTTATAAACAAACAGCATATCTTAAAGGCTGTTGATCAGCTCATAACTATTCAAAAATATACCACCAATTTCTATAAAGCTTAGCTCTTACTATGCTTACCCTTGTGTACACAAACACCAGTGTGATGAACCAAAAATACAGCCAGTTCTTTCAGCTGGCTTTTTTTTTTTTCATGGTCTTGCTTTTTCAGCATTTAAAAATGTGATCGCGACAGCTGGCTGCCCTGATGCTTGTAATTTTTTTTTGGAAGAATGTTAATTTCTTATATTATTTGTTAAATCCTCATAACCCTTTCCTGGCATCAAGCAGGGATGAGACGAATCAACTCGTTCAAGATTGGTTTACACTCATGCTAAAATTGTTTACTGGAAATGCTGCAACCCAGTTTTGTCATTTCAGAATTTCTCATCTGATGTGCAGACAGGTCTTTATTATATCAACTAGTCATACCTGCTGTCATAAAGCCCTCCTCTGAGTGGATACAGCTGCTTCCTATCTTCACATTTGAACTTTAAACAGAGGAGTCTCCTGCAGGATTACTTAAAAATTACCTAACTGCCGACTTTACCAAACCTGTGAAGTTATTCCATCTGATGGTTCAAATTTGTGGCTTACAGTTTGGTTCCTTATTTGCTTTTTATCATTTTCTTTCCTACATATCCCAGAGATGACCAAGAGAACAAGAATGTGAATTTAGAAACCATAATGCTGATCTCTTTTATACACTTACAATCCTAGAGTAAATTTATATTATCTTATGATTTTATACCACTATATAACTGGTGTAAGAACAGATTAAATATCAAGTGCAATGAAGAGGATAAGAGTGAACTGAGCCCCGTATGGACTGAAATCAGCTGTATAGGCAACAAGATTAGGTGCAAAAAATCTGTGCTTACATTTTTACATTTAGTATTTTTAAACACTAGTGCAAAATGCTGTACCAAAGGCTAAATCTTGACGGGAGAGGTTTCTGGGAGTCTTTTGAGAAGAAGACCCACTTGCAGCAGCAGCCTTCACAGCATTTCATGGGCTGCTTCTCTGTTGTAAACAACCTGGCATCTGAATGGATAGATTTAAGATTATATGATCCTGCAGAAACGTGGTAGTTGTGTAAAAGCTATTTTACTAAGGCCTGAGGAGCAGGGTGCCATTTTAGGTTAAACTCAGATCAAAATGCTTTGAGAGAAGAGGCTGCCTTTTATGTTACCCAGCTGAGCTGACCTTGCTTACTTTGTCTTCATTTATTTCACAAAGAGTGTTCAGGTTTGTTGCTTCTGAATTAACATTGCCTTCAATTTCCATTGCTTGAAATTAATCCCTTTGAAGTTATTATAGGATGACAACAAAGCTTCAAGAAGAGCTTATTTGCTTACAGAAAGAGAAACAAGAGCAACAGTTTAGAACTGGCTGGTGAAACATTCTTTGGGATATCAGTAAAGACCTTGACGTTTTCTGTGTAGGCCATAAGATCATCTCTCACTGCTGCAGAAATGAGTCATGATTGGGACTGGAAAATGGAGACACTTGTCTAAGCATAGACTCATTCTGCTGAAATGAAATCTCATCGTTGTACTCAAATCTGAAAAAGAAAAATTACTGTAAAAACAGAGTATAAGGAATATCTGCAAATCAAATAAGAGTTTGCTGCATGAAAAATCGTATAAGGCCACAGCAGGGTAATTTCTGGGCATTTTGTGGTCTTTATGGCTTTTATCACCATCAATTCTTACTAGCGAATGTTATCCTCACTGTAAATATGGGGAACAGAAGAATGAAGTTACGCTGCTTTCCAGTAGCCGTCCATGAATGCTGTGGCAGCATGGAGGTGTGCACACACAATTTTCAAGAGCTGGCACTGCAGCTGTTGCACCTTCCCGTTTCTCTGTGAACAAAGCAGAGGGTAAAATGTGTGTCTCCACATGGGCCGTCTAAAGTGAGGGAAAGCAAGCAGTGTACGTCAGAGTTTTACTTACCCAGACCATTCACTGGATAGTGTTTTGCAGTTGGATTCTTTCTTCTGAGAAAAATTCTGCTTGTTGCTGGGCTTTCTGCCCTGGAATATCATTTTTCTTTCATTACCAGTGGGACTCCCAGTGCCAGCAGACAGGGGATTAGTGCAAGCAGCAGACAGGCCCTGTGGCTTGGGATCTCTGAGCTCAAGGCTGGTGGCATGAATCAGCTTCAACAGTGTTTTCATTGACTGAACTGCATACAGTGATGAAATGTATATAAAATACGTTCTTTCCTGTAAGAGAGACAAATGAGTGACTTAGAAGAAATAACCACAGAGGATGAGCAGGAATATCCATTCCCACATGCTTTTTGAAGGAGAGTTGTGTTCCCAGCTGGGGGTACAGATTTGAGCAGATGTAGCTGACTTTCAAGCCCACTCTGAAAAAAATGGCCAAAGAGTTTCGTGTTGCCCACTTTTTGAGATGTGTTTTCAGTCAGTGTGTAATTGTCATAAAGCCGAATCATATCTGCATGTTGCAGTTCAAGGGTTTTTCCAAGATATTTTTTCCTGCATGTTTGTATTTAAAGCCTGAAATTCATTCAGTCGTTCACAATTTGTGCTGAGATTTTTCAAAACCGAATGAGTTTTCTATATGTAGAGTGAGATTGGAAATTCTCATTAGACATTAAATTTGTTGCTGCATTTCCTTGTTCCTAGGAGAAGAAAACAAGTGTGCAAATATGGAGAATAAAAATTCTTCTGTGCTAGAATCTGCATGTTTTTTCTAACAGGTGCACTACAGGTATCACTGACATTTTTTCTTCCTTTTTTTTTTCTGAAACAATGAAAATAAGTGGATGCTTTCTGAGGAGCAATAATTTGCATTGGACGTTGGACTTCAGTTGGGATTTCTCAGCGGAGTTTGGAAGGAAAGCCGTGGCCAGCTCATAACTACCTTACTGTAGTAATTGATTCATATCCCTTGTCCTTCAAGGAAAAAGTGGGAAGCATAGTTATTGAAAAATATTATTGGAGCAGTACATTTAAAGGTCAGGTCAGATCTGGCATTTAGGTGATCTTTTATTTCTCCAAGCCTGTAATGACAGGCTAATTTTCCCTGAACCTCATCTTACATCTTAGCCCTTCACAATAAATGACATGTTGCTGGATATTAGGCTTGAGGAGCACCAGGGAACTGACCATTCCATAGAAAGGAAGGAGAGGTGTGTTTGGTGAATTGGTAAGCAAAGGCAAACCAGTACGTTACAAGAAGTTTAAAATTGAGATTGAAAATATTAAGGTTGAAATTGAGATTGAAAATATTAGGGTTGAAATTGAGATTGAAAATATTAGGGTTGAAATTGAGATTGAAAATATTAGGGTTGAAACACGTGAGATGTGTGGGAAGACTAAATATACAAATGGAAGAGTAGAAACGGCATGATTTACAAACAGTACAACACCTGCAGGTGGGGATGTGTGTATTTAAACATGCAAGCACTCACATTTGTATTATGTTTATGTATTTTTATGTAAACAAGGGAGTCAGAGATTCAGAAGTTTAGAAGATGGCAGAACTGTGGTGACTGTTGGGAAAGCATGGTGAAATCCTGCAGTGAGGCAATGTCTTTCAACTTTGACTTTCCACTCTTCCCCAGATGCACAGTGCCGCGTTGAGAGGTCCCACCCAGTGTTTCAAAGCTGCTGCAAAAACTCTTGCTTGGGGATGCGTTTAAGACCACAGAGGTTCTTGGACTGGTGCTAGCTGCATCTCTACTGTGCTCTGCATGCAGCAGTAACCTGAGGAGGGAAGTGGTTTCATTTGACTCTGCGTGGATGAAGAGAGGACTGTCTGGGTGTGACATACTGGGTTATAAGAGCTGCAATACTAGACTTCATGGTAGGGCTGTGTTGGTGTGCTGGATTATGATAGCTGGGATATTAGGCTTCTCTTCTGGTGTTACAGTCTATCCAGTAAATAAACATTTGTGTGCTGTCACCTACGTGTTTGTTCCTTTACCATATTATAGGTGAGCTTTAGTTGATGCAAGGTGAACAGAAGGATGTGGTTCGGATCCCACGGTCACGCTCAGGTAGATAGTTCTGCCCGTGCTGGATTTCAGCCCTTGGGGAAATGAGGGTCACTTTTACTGGTGCCTTTCTCAGGCTGTCATATGGTAGATGTGGCAAGGATTTAGCTTTTGTCAATGTCTTTTCAATTGCATTTATTTTGCAAGCAGCTTGAACTCTCTCGTTACTGCCAGACAGTATGAGGGCTGAGCCACACTCTCAAATAATGAAAATACCAATCAGTAAGCGTTACTTTATGCGATCTCTCATCAGATTTAAGGCTCTGTCCCACAGATTATGGTTATGAAAAGCCATGTAATAATTACTGATGATACATAAAGGATTTCTCGACTCTTCTGAAGTTCTCCACTACAAAATGCCTTTAGCAATTACTGTGAAAATAACAAGGTTCACATCTTGCTGCTTTCCATTTGCATATCAGTCAGCCTGAAGGTTTGTGCCTCTGTTGAAGCATGTGTGTGTGTGGTGCTGCCTAGACGTAATGAAAATTAAGCTTCTTCATTCCTCCCACTTTAAAACCAGTCTTTTCCTTGAAATTTAAATCTAGGAATAGATGACACAGCTGGGAAGATCCTTCCTCTGAAAATGTTGTTTTGTCCAACCCTTGATAATATACTTTGATACAGTTCTGTGCAGCTGCATTGTGCTTTGTATGATTCACATAAAAACAACTTGTCCCAGGTTCTCACCTTTTAAGCATCTTGAATTCGTAACTGGAGGGAAAGCGTTTCTCCCCAGACTAGATAAGTAACTTCTGGGCTGATCTACCCCAGGTATCTGGGCACCGTATTTACTTGAGAGGGCTAGATAGAAGTTACTACTGATGGTGCCTTGACCTTTATCTTCTGTGTAGTTAATTCTTGTTTGGTGCATTTTATGAAGAGCAGAGATATTCCAAGGAGACCCTGACCTTTCAATAAATACTGTTTATAATTTAGATTAAAAATACGTTTGCTTAAACTTTTGATTGACACAGATTGTGAAAAGAAGGGAGCTATTCACAGGAGGGAGTAAATTTTTTGTAGTTCACTGATTACAGCCCTGCTGCACAGTATTCTTCATGGAGTGATAGTTTCTTCTTTCCTCTGTGTTGTTTATTTGTATAGAGATAGCAGCTATGAAGTTGAAATTCCATACAGTGTGTGTACGTGTGCAAATACAGATGCTTTGTAACACAAAGCATGAGGTGACAGGTGGATGCAAGTAACACTCACAAAGAGCAAAAGTAATAGTGATAGGGCAGGAGTTTAGAGAGCTTCTTGCAAGCACCACTCAGTATTCTCACATGAACCCTTAATGTTCACGCAGCAGGGAATAATGTCCAAAGCAGTGTTTGAGTTGTTTGTTGTTACTCTGCTCCGTGTTCTGACACTTAGTACCAGTCACCCCTAACTCTTTCTGTTTTTACTGTCATGAATTTAGACATTTCTGAGCGCAGACAAGCAGAAGACAAAAGGCCATTCTCTGTTTTGTTCCCGGTGCTCTTTCACAGTTCACTTCCTCTGGGAGTAGCACAAAAGAGACACTGTGCAGAAGACTCGGTGCAAGACAAGAAAGCTAATTGGGTTTGTCCACTAGTTTACTGAGTGTCTCTGGGCATGTAATTTAACTTCTCAGTTGTAAAACGTGAGCCGTTACTGGTGGATGACGCTTGATTAGAGGACTGAAGAAATCATCTGGTTAGGGCATCAAAAGCTTTTTAACACTGTGTGACCTCAAAGTCAGTTATCCTATCTAGGTAATGAATGTAGTAGGCAATCCCTTGTGTGAAGAGCTTTAAGCCTTGTGAGTAAAAAGCATTGTATAAACATTAGCCACTGTTCATTGATAATTTCAGATGTTCACAGTCTTCTCCCTTCTTGTGGGCAATAACGTGCACTTCTAAGTTTCTGGAAGACTTAAGGTAACTTGATCGATGCAGAATTCATGTGGTCACTTGCTGTGCAGCCATCTCGGAGAAAGTATATGCTCTTTGAAAGTTGTGTCCTTTTCCTCTCCACGCAGCGTCCCATCATCTCGATCTGTTGGGGTCACAGGGATTCGCGCCTCCTGATGGCTTCTGGACCTGCACTGTACGTTGTCAGAGTCGAGCACAGGGTCTCCAGTCTGCAGCTGCTGTGCCAGCAGACCATCGCCAGCTGTCTGCGGGATGACAAGGATATCAGCAAACTGACCCTGCCCCCTCGGCTCTGCTCGTACCTCACCACTGCCTTCATGCCAACAATCAAGGTAAAAGGAAAGAAGCGCCTGTATGTGTGTGAGGACGAGGAAATTTGCTTGGTTCCCCCCGCCATGCTGCTCCTAAGTGACAGTGGATAAATTATAGTATAATTGTCATAATTACAGTTTTAAAAGCTTGATTAAGTGTCATTCTTGTCCTCTTTAAGAGCCCAATGATCTGTTCGGTACCTATTAAAATCTGAAAAGTGGGCTCACACATGCTGGTCTGCATTATTCCATGGGGGTGGCCTTTCCAAGGACATCCCAAGGATGAAATATGCTGGTGACTTGCAAAGACACTAAAGCTCACACCGATGATAATACTGTGTCACGGTTATAGGAGAGATTCAGAGCGGTAAAACTGTTGCCTCCCTACTTATTACATGAGCCCTTATATTGCCAGGGAAGTTATACTTAAAAGAGTGGTGGCTGCCCAAATATTTCTACTGACAGTGAGTTCTGCTAACCTTACTGCTGCAGGGGTGCTGTGGGAAAATAAACCAGATACTATGCCTTTTCCTGTACCGCTAGCAGAGCCATCTGCTCAACGCCTTTGTTTCATGGTTTTGCCCTCAGTCACATCTCAGAATTTCCAAACTCTTTATCACAGCCTGTAAACCAGAGCATTAGCTGGTAAATGCCCTACATTCAAACATAAATTTTTGTGTCATGTAGTTTTTCTGTATGTGTTACAGCATTCTCTTGAGCCAGTTTCAGGTCCTTTTTAAACCTGCTAGAATAACTAATTTGAAATCACTGGAGTTGGCCCAGCCTAAATGAGAACAAATTATGCCTAAAAAATAACGATTCAGCACCATTCCATCTGGGTACTGCTAATCAGGGCAATTTGTGTGACTGTAAAACATTTCATTTACTACAGAGAATAAATACCTTGCTGTAACCATAACTCCTTGCTCTCTAGAGATGCATTTAACAGGCTAATGGGTCTGAGTTCTTTGTAGCATGCCAACTACTCCCCAGATGCTTTTCATGTTGTCCCAGAGCCACCCCTGCAGCTATCTAGAGCATCAGTGACGCTTGCTTGGCGGGGTGGGATGGGATGAGATGAAGGCAACAGTTGGCTGTAGCAGGACTGGGAGCCGTGATGGGGATCGGAGGGGCAGAGGCAGTACAGGGGCACGTCATTCTGTCACTTTCCAGAGGGCATGCTGTGGTGAGGAGCAGTCACAGGCCTGCGTAGCTGAGAGGCTGAACCAGGGTTCCCAGAAGCTCCGTTCCCCTGCTCTTCCATGGATGCTTCTGGCACCTCCTCAAAACTGCTTTGTACTTTACCCTGTCTCTCCCCCCTCCATGTACTCCCACCTACATTGTCAGCCATGCCTCCAGTGCCTGGCAAGGCACCCTCTTCCCTGCATACATTCCTCTTTCCCCTCCAGCTTGAGGACTGCATTACAAATCACTCCTCAGCCCGTATCCACCTCACCAGGTTAAGGAGGCTCCTTTCTTCCCCTACTTTTTTTTCTTCTATTTTCATTTTGAAAGAAACTGTGTTGACTTACACACATTAGTAGTATTTGTGTCATACAGGCTGTATTGTCCTAGACAAAAGCAGTCCAACTGCTTTAGGACTGAATTCTTCATGGATGATACAGTGTGGTGGCAAGCAGGGATAAGTAGCCCACCCTGAGCTTTGTGCACATATTTCTCCACATTGCATGCAAATAGGTCCTTGGTGAGAAGGGTCGTGTGCTTGGAAGTGATTTAAGAGGGTACAGGCTTCTTCCAGACCTGACAGCATTGGGACACAATGGCATAGCATGTACCAGTACTAACCAGGAATGGGAACCTGTGTGGCCAAGTTCACTTGGAGGGCCAGCAAGAGGCAAGATATTCTGAGACTTAACCGTATTACCCACATTAAAAGAGAAGTTTGTAATAGAGTTGGGACTTGAATACAGGTTTGTTACCTAATTCAGTGCTCTAGCCACAGTTCCAACCTCTGCTTTGGTGTAACTATTTTAGTTTTCTGTTTACAGCTGCTTTTGACCTGAGTAATACACAGCCACTATGTCTTGCATGCGAGACCTGCATAACTCACACAGTAACCTGTACTAATCTTGACCTTCCAAGTTAGAGTTGGCGTCAAATTCAGCTAGTTGTGTTGGGATTAAGTCACCGCAGAATAAAAGAACAATAACCTATAGGAAACTTTCTCTTTCCTTCCTTCATTTAATTAAGCCTCCTATCCCAGACCCAAACAATATGAGAGATTTTGTCAGCTACCCAACAGCTGGTAATGAACGACTTCACTGCACGATGAAGAGGACAGAAGATGACCCAGAGGTTGGTGGGCCATGTTATACTCTGTACCTGGAATACCTTGGGGGACTGGTGCCTATTCTGAAAGGACGTCGTATCAGCAAGTTGCGGCCAGAGTTTGTCATCATGGATCCTAAAACAGATGGAAAAGCAGGTAGAATTGAAGTGTTGCTCTGTATAAAGAAAAATTTAGAAATACTTCAGATATTAAATCCTCAAGAGTTAAAGAAAATCTCTATATGCAACATGGAAGGGCAGCCAAATTTTTTTTTCTGATGCGAAAAACTCTTTAGCGTGACCTAGGCTCAAGCCTCTGAAATCATACTGTGCTACCTTCTGTTTTACAAAAGGGGACTCTTTGTATTGTGAATAATGGAGAATAGATCTCTAATTAGCAGAAAATACTCTTTAATCTCAGTTTTGAAGTCACTTGAACGCTCTTCATCCCTCTGAATCATGTTCACTTGAGTTTGAACCACTGGAAATCTGGAGTTTATACTAGGCAGGGTGAAAACCAGTTAATTTTTCCTGCATGGTTTTATCTCAAATGCTGCCTGTGGATTGGATTTATGTGTCTGATGACTGATAGTTGTAATTGGTATCAGTTTTCTGAAGCAGCGCTTACATTTTCTGGGGCCTGTCTTGATAGATGAAATCTATGGAAACAGCTTGATTTCCACTGTGATTGACAGCTGCAACTGCTCAGACTCCAGCGATATCGAACTGAGTGATGACTGGGCAGCAAAGAAATCCCCCAAAATCAGCCGAGCTAGCAAATCACCCAAACTCCCCAGGTAATCATTTTTTGGGTCTCTCTTCTGCTTTTTCCCCAGGTTCCCTTTCCCTTTCCCTCTTAACTGTCTCAACACTTCACGAAATTAAAAGCAAACTCCTTTGGGCAAATAGGAGTCTTCTGGAGGAGTGAGGTTCTTTAGAGTGGGAAGTTCTGGAGTGATCTCAGAGATTGGTGTTGAGGTGGACTTTGGGGAAGGTTCTGGGGTGAAAGGTAATGAGAAACAGTAGGGCACCACTTCTCCCCAAGCAATCTCGAGGAAAGGGTTTATAAACTGTCCTACCACTCTGCCACATGTAAACTCCTGCCACCAAAACATATGTTTTGTCCTTCAGACAATCTGTTTCTACCTCCTTTGTGCGTGGGGTCCCTGCTCTAGTTCAAGCCTTTATTTCCCCAGGGGCATTTTCAAATTCCTAAGTCCATGCATAGGTGGCATAGATCCTGGCATAGGTGGCACTGCTGCTGTGGTGGCTTTGCAAGGGAGCTTCAACAAACAGATGCTCCTAAACATTAGGTTGATGAGTTTCTGCAACAATATGCAAAGTAAGCTTCTAAGATATTTATCTGGTAGCTTTCCTGCCTGCTCTTCGTTATGTTCCTTACATACACAGACAGACCCCTCCACCCACACAGAGCTTCACTTCCCGTAGGCACTGACATCTGTCTGCCAGCTTCATGTTACGGGACTGAGGCCCTAGTGCCTTCTAGCTGCAGCCTTTCAAAGAGCTTATATTATGAGCTTGCCCTGGTGTGAGACAAAGCAAACGCATCCCTTTATATGGGAACATAACATGTGAAATAGCAAAGTTTTAGTTTAATAGTACTTGACAACAGAACCATCAGTTCCTGAGCCTAAAACTGAAATGGCTCAGGAAGAGCAATTGTCTTGCATCCTTGTTTTTCTAAGAGCATACTTTTGAAATGTAACTTTTGGCTCTTATGTTTTCTACAAGTGAGCTTTTTCAGGTGCTTGAGCTCCTATTCATTACCCCCTTCATACAGTGGGAAGTGGGAGTAACTTTTGGCTTAGAGTGAGACCACTGATGAATTTTGTGGCTCCTTGGTTTGCTGTTCTGCCAGCTGAAGTGTCATGTTTCCGTTTCTTGAGGCTTTGCTCAAAGTCTGCGGAGGTGAAATACCTCAGCTCTACACCTTTTTATGGATTAGTGGAGGATGTATTGTATCTGGCAGAACTACTGTAAGCTTTGTGAGATGAATCAGAAAGCAGCCAGTCTGAGTTACTGCAAACATGTCAGGCCCTATGTATCTTTAAATTTCACCCATAACTCTCCGTCCTGTAGACTCTACAGTTTTCATTAGTCACTTAGAGGACACCGTACCAGTTGTCTTCATTACATCTTTACATTCAAAGACGTGAATTTTGTGCATTTTTGCACGCCCATTGATGATTCTGATTATTGCTTTATGTAGAATCAACATAGAAGCTCGCAAATCTCCTAAGATGTCACGAGCTGCGCAGGAGATCTCAAGATCGCCAAGGTTACCAATAAGGAAACCTTCTATTGGTTCACCAAGCCTAACCCGAAGAGAGTTTCCTTTAGAAGATATTACTCAGGTATTGTGCGCATTGTTACTGGACAGAGGTAACAATATGTGATACAGATCTAGTGATCACCAATAAAAATTTTTCGTTTAATTACATTAACTAAGTGGAACAACTAGAGAATTGCTTCTTCCAGTTCAGCATTTGAAAGTGTCAGTGGAATATCAGGCACCGTTTGATAAATCCTGTCACTCCTAACTTCTGTTAACGTGAATCCATGTTTACTCTAGGTGATGTTGTTGGCTGTTTGAATGCGTACGGGCAAATGCCTCATCGGTTTCTCAGAGCTGTCTCAATGCCACCACAGTTCTCTGCTTTGTTAAGAATTGCAGATAAGAAAATGCTTGCTTCAGAGGGCCACATTTCCTCTGTTTCATATTAACAAGAAACAGCCTTAATTGGAAGGAAGGCTAAGAGTTAGCACTTTGTGCTTTTTGTGGTGTTCATGACCTGTGGGTAAATGAAACTTAGGAGACTGTAGAACTGTCTGGGTTACGTATTTTATTAATACCAGCCTGCGATTTTTGTTCCTTTTCAGTTGTTTTTTTTCTCCTCTGTGATTTCACTTTTTCCTTTACACTGAAACATTCTAGATCAGTTACACAGCAGCAGTAGATAGGACCAAAATGCCCTTTGGGTAGGGCAGGAGACATAGATCCTCCTCCTGATACTGACAGTGTAACTCTTGGGCTTTGAGAAAAATCTCTTGGTCTTTCAGACCCCTAATTTGATCACCATGGAGGCAGTGGTTTGGGAAGGTGCTTTGGAAGCTCCAGGAAAAATATGTCTGTCATTATGGGTAATTAATTTCTGTCTCAATTATTATTCTATAAAGTGATGCGTAAGCATAGAAGCAAAGGGTAGGGTGTATTACTTTCTGAAATACTGAATAGCCACTCTCTTCTTGTGCAGGAGAACCAAGTGTCTGAAAACAGACCTGTTCTCACTAAGCGGCCATCATGGTGGTCAGTTCCTCAACAGCTTTAATCAGTCTATGTGACTCTTGTGTACATCATTTGTGATGACTTTCAGATACCAAAATGAGACTTCTTGGTGACTGGGTGTAACAGTTGCTACACAGATATGTTAGGCTGTTTCAGTAAAATAAAACCAAGTGAAGCTGAAATTGTATTATTATTTGCACTAGCTTGATTGCTCTGCAGTTCTTTATTAGAGCTTGATATGGATTTTATTAGGTGAAAATGATCGTGTTTTTGCTTTGCAGCACAACTACCTTGCTCAGGTCACATCTAATATCTGGGGAACCAAATTTAAAATTGTCGGTTTGGCTGCTTTCCTACCAACTAACCTTGGTGCAGGTAAAAGTAAACTCTCTTGGTTTTTCACATGTGAAACTCTAACGCAACAAACTTACGCCATGTGATTCTTTTTAAGTGGCAAAAGGCTTTGTTAATGATGCGCTTACTTTCATTACACTTATAGTAGGAATTAGATTTTACAGAATTCACTGTGACTAAAAGAGATTAAAGTCTATAAATACAATAATGAGATGAGCAATAACATTTTAAGTCTCAGTTGTAATAAAAAGATTAATTAACAATCAAGCCCTGTCCTTTATTTTTACAGTTTATTTGAGCAAAATGAAAACAAATTAAAAAAATTTGTGCAAGGAGACCAAAAAATTACCTTTTAAGTTACTGTAATAGAAATATTTTTAAAACTCAGATTTTTATAGTCATTTAGCAACTAATTATACCAAAAAGAATATTATAAAGGTCTTACTGCATCGTGCTCAAGATTCTTCAAGTCAGTGCATAGCCTTGTCATAGGGTTCTCTTGCTGGACCATGAGTGAATTTGTAGCCTTCAGTAATAGTGGCAGTTGTCTTTTGACCTTTTTCTGGGTAGGCCAGTTCTCCCTAGATAGTCCTGTTGAAAGGGAGAAGGCTAAGTAAAGAACAGGGTACCACTTAGCAGAACTAAGCTCTGCACTGAAATACTAACACAAGTATGGGAGTTTTACTAGCTCTTTGGAAAACTTTTTCCTGTGTTTATGTATATCCATTGTATATCCATTTTTGTTTATGTAGTTAGGTCAGGACTACATAATGATGTCCTGGGTGCAGAATTAGTCAGATTGATATCTTGTGTGGCTACACTGACTACTATCAGACAAGATGTGGAGTCCAAACTACTGGAGAGAGGACCTTCTCTGGCCCAGCCTCCAGGCAAAGGACAACCAGTGCTACTGCTATTAGGGCAGTGACACCTTCTACTTAAAAAAGTGTTCTGGAAACCCTCGGGTTTGTTTCAGGTTTGGGGTTTTTTTAAGTAATTTACCACTTTTTGACATCTGCGTTTGCAGTGACTGTCAAAAGAAAGTGTAAGAATGACCCTACTGTCTCAGACCAGAGGTCATTCTAATTCCCTCATTATCAGTGACAGGTATGTAGGGAAGGATGTAGGTGTAGAGTAAGTGTGTAATGATACTTGATTCAAATATTCACAGAGTGGTAGGGGTTGGAAGGGACCTCTAGAGATCATCTAGTCCAACCCCCCTGCCAGAGCAGGATCACCTAGAGTAGATCACAAGTGGTTTTTATTCTCCCAGTCTCCTACGGTTTGGATCCCAGGGGTAATGAGCCAGAAGGGGTTTCTTTGTATGTAGTAACCCTCAATGGATTTCCTTGCTGAGAGCATTCCAATTTTGCCCTCAACTCATGTAGGTCAGTAGCATCCTGTGGTGAAGACTTCCAAAAGTAGAATGGAAAATTATTTTCCTTCCATAAAAATAGATGTGAATATAGATTAAGTAATTAATTATTTCTGCAGATTGTTTAACTACAGAGATGCTGCTTCTATTTAAAGCTGGATGTGGCTTTGAGCAACCTGGTCTAGTGGAAGGTGTCCCTGCCCATGTCAGGGGGGTTGGAACTAGATGGTCTTTAAGGTCCCTTCCAACCCAAACCATTCTATGATTCTGTGATTCTGTGATTTAAAGATAAATAGCTGAAGGTAACAATCTCTTTTATCCTGTTTATGCAAAGTGTTACATAGTGGTTTAGCTAAGAATGGCCCATACATGCATTTGTTCATTAATACATTAAATAAAAATAGTCATAGCCCTTCTGTCTGCTTTGAAATGATTCTTAGCTTTAGATCCTCTTTGTGTAACGGGATTTTTTTTTTCCTTGTTATACTCTCTCTCCAGTAATATATAAAACCAGTTTGCTGCATCTGCAGCCCAGGCAGATGACAATATATCTCCCAGAAGTGCGGAAGATTTCAATGGACTACATTAACCTGCCTGTCTTTAATCCAAATGTTTTCAGTGAAGATGAAGATGACTTACCAGGTAAGGAGGAGCTGGAGGTCTGCCATGTTATGGGTTAAGCTAGACAGAGGACAGATCACCTGTGTCACTAGCCCCCTCTGATAAACACACAAATCAATATCCCATAGTCTGACGGGGATCTATGGAACTAGAATTAGAATAATTAGAATTAGAATAAAATTAATATGTATTATGGACATTATTTTCTAAAATATGTGGAAAATATAATCTGTATAGAGCTTCTGAGTTTCAAAGTCATAGGAAAATAAATCTTCTATTTAGTTCACTAAGAATTCTCCGTAGGCCAAAGCCTTGCATTCTGCATTTTGTAGGACAGAATCATAATGTGTTGGAAGCCCAAATGGGTCGTTCATGTGACCTGATAACAGCAAAGCAGAGCTTGGTGGTAGGAGCTTGGATTGGAGGGCAGGTTCCCATAAAACTCATCCACCCTTTGAAAAGTGATAAATGCCCATTTGGATTTATATCAACAGGAAGTCTTACAGAGAGGCTAAGTGTAAAGTTTTTTTGATTGGAGGACGTCCTGAGTACTTCCAGTCCTTTTACCTTCACAACACATGCACCCAAGCCTTTCCTGCACTGCTTGAATCTTCTGCTGTGAAATGAGAAATTCTTCCTGATCCCCCTTGTTTATGGACTTGTTGTGGTTCAACCAAAACCAGCGCAGTTGTTTATTATGGTTAGTAAACAACTACTTTACTGTACTTAAAATGGAGCCTAGTCTCTCACAATATGGGGCTTGGCTTGCCTAATTTACACCTAGATGATATTCATCTGTAGGATCTGAAGAAAATAATAGAAACATTGATGACTGTATATATATTATGCATAGGAAGTACTTGACCATGTTTCATAATAGGAAATGTCCAAGCTGACAGAAAGTGATACAAAAATTAAATAGAAAAAAAGAGTTAATAGGACATTTTCACATCTCTTCCTGAAAATTGCATTAGATATGCAATGTCAATGAATTTTATATTATTAAAAGAGCTGAAATGATATGCAGAATTGCAGGTTGGTGAACACCACATAAATATAGGAAAAATTGTTAGGGAGTTTTGTTACACCTCTTTGAGAAGGCTAGTAAAAGAATCACACTATTTTGTCCTCCATAAAAGCCTTCCTCTTCTAGTCCACTTTTTTCTTTCTGATTTCTTCTGAAAATTCATTTCTGACTTAACAAATGGAGGCTACTTCAAAAACATTTTGGGGTATATCTTTTCTTAAAGCCTGCATATAAAGCAAAAAAGTGCGGTATGCTAATAGGAAAATCTATTGCAGTGTAAATAATGATTACATGATAGAGTAGAAAAAACATCGTAGAAAGCTGCTCTTGGGCAGTGGAATGTTCAGTGAGGTACTGCTGGGCCAGGTGCTTTTTAATGTAGTCAGTAAAGATTTGGCAAGGCAAATGGACAGTGAATTGATTTAACTTGCAAATTATACAAACAAGTCAATTAAAAACCATTGGGGAAATGAAAAAAAAAAAACCCAAACCATTGGCTTTAAACACTTTGGGATATTAAGCAACACCGCGATGAATGAGATTTTGTTTGATAAGACACTTAATACCCGTGACAGCAACATTGTGCGTTGCTCAAGCCAAGCTAACAATTAAACCTCAAGCTCTGGCGGATAAATTGCTAACCCGCAGGCATCAGGATGAAAGCATGGCCAGCCAAGCACGGAACCACAGTGCCTGAGGGTCAGTTAAGTTTAGCTGTCGGTGGTCTTCTGAAGGAGCGAAGAGAACTACCATAAAAATTTGCCAGCCCAGCCACAGATCTATCTCTACACCTATCACATTTGTGACTGATGCTGATAAAAGCCTAATGCTATCAAAAATGTAATTATAGTCCATAGGTAGATAAGTAGAATTTTAATTAGAAATTAATTAGGAACTGCCAACGGCTGGAAGAGTCCTGACTAATGGATCTCTTGCCTGATGGGGTGTTGCAAATCAGAGGTCTCCACAGAATTTGGCACACTTAAATGATCCTGGATATTACTCTAGTCTCTTTTTCTCCCATAAACCTGCTGATGGAACTTGCTTATCATTTTCCAAGGGTTTTGTACAGGAAAACTAATAAAGAATCTGCAAGGTTCTTGGGGGCTTTAATATAGTATTTACTATTTCTCCTCACTGTTATATTTTGTTCCTTCTTACCTTGCCTACTGCACCTGTACTTGGTTCCAGTGTCCTCATTTCCCTGCCATGCTCCAGCTTTTCAGTGGTAGTTCCTGTTGGAATCACTCTTACCACTTTTAGCAAAAGAAATTGCAAGCAATTAAGTAAGCTCCATGCTTTTGCTTAAAATTGTCAGAATTGGTTCTTGCCTCACTGTCCCTTGTTCACCGCCAGGAGTGGGAAACTTTTCCTATATACACTTGCTTCTTTTCACATTTCTGATTGCAGCCTGTCCAGACATTAATGCTGAAGTTGCCCTGACTACAATACTCACTTCCTGAATCTTTTTGGCTTTCCATCTATTTCTTCACACCCTCCCCTTGTATTTCCCATCTGGCTTTTACCTGTTTTCTCACATCTTTTCCTTACGAATCTTCTTTCAAGAACTTTTGTGTAAGTTTTATCTGTATTTCATTCAGTCATATTCCTCTCTCTGTTTCATCTTCCTTCCTTTTGTGTTACTTCTTGCTTTGTCACCCATTATACTCAAGAGATGGTAATACTTCCCTTTTCCAACTGTTGTCTGTATTCCATAGTTTTCCTAAACTCATTGAGTCTGGGGATGTTACACTAGATACTATACAGTGCCTTCAGAGCAGGTCATCAACTTTCTTTCTCTTTTCATAGAATCATAGAATCA